CTACCCAGGGGGACAGCTTGAGGCTCTGTCTCAAAAAAAAAAAAAAAAAAAAAGAAATTGGTAACTCTTAAGTTTGCTTAATTAATGTTTGACAGGTGAAGTTTGGTGCCTGTAGTTCAGCAGTTAGGGTGCTGGCCAGATACACCAGGGCTGGCCGGTTTGAACCCAGCCTGGGCCTACTAATCAACAATGGCATCTACAACAAAAAATAGCTGGAACGTTGTGGCAGGCGCCTATAGTCTCAGCTACTTAGGAGGCTGAGGCAAGAGAATCACTTAAACCCAAGAGTTGGAGGTTGCTGTGAGCTGTGATGCAACAGCACTCTACTGAGGGCAACACAGTGAGACTGTCTCAAAAAATAATAATAAAATAAAATGTTTGATAGGTGAAAACAAGATATGGGATGAACAGTTAATCAAGCCAAGTGAGATCTGGTCACTGGGACAGTTGGAAAGACAGGGAATCCACATAAACAAAGAACCTGCTTAGGGCATGTTAAGGACCAAAGGAAGATCCTTTGAGATCTCTGCAGCAATATTCTTGGCTAAACGGTCCAGGTCTGGCAAGCTCAAAGACAAGGCGTCTCTAGAAAGAGGAAGTTAATGAGAGGCTAGATTCAAATTAGCTCCAACTTTATTTATAAATTAACAATGCAAAATTTTATCTTCCATCCTTTTCATCCAAAAAAAAAATTAAAACCATATCCTTATTGTTAGTGTTAACTTCTAATGTTTCTGAACTTGCCATATTTTTGTTTTAAAGATAAGTGATAGCAGATGTTGAAATTACTAATGTGAGTAAAGCCTTAAGTTCCCAAGTAAAATTAGATTAATATTGTATGTCATTATTTACAGCAGTGACTCAGAGCGTAAATATTACAGAGGTCTCATAATTGTCCCCAGCCCTGGGATCATGTAATAGGACAATTTAGTGACAATGCTGCATTAAATGGAAAATTAATTGTGAAATGCCACTTCTAAACTGTTTAATTCTTTTTCTCTTCATTTGGGTATTTTAAAAAAGTAGACCTCACACTTTTTTCATTTAAAATAATCTAACATTGTTTCATTTTTCTATTTTCTCTGGAAAAAAACCCCACCAAACTTCCAAAAATTGCTCAGACCAATTATCTCAGATGTTCCTTTTGATAGTAAAACTACTTTTGTTTTAATTCTGTGAAAGTGCTTTAATACTATACTATTTACTATGAGGGTATCCTAAAGTCTTCCTTTTTGTCATTTGAGCATTAAAAAAATTAGGTTATCCAATATTCACATATGAAACTCTGGAACATCAATGATGTACTTAGACCTATCAGTTAAGCCCACAAAGAAGTCTTATAAGAACAACTTTGTGCTTTAAATTTAAATGCATACAAAGGGGGGAACTGCCCCCCCCCCAAGTCACTACCCCTCTAGAGAGGATTTTATACCCAACAGCTGGTGTCAACATGACATCATCCTTGATTTTGTTGAACAACTGGCCAAGTCAAAGGAGGTGAAAGTAATCAAGCTACTGTAAATGAAACAAGTTTGACTTAAAAAAAAAAATTAATTCCGTAGCCTACCAGATCGTTCCATACTCAGTCTGAAGACATCGTGCCACAATAGCAAAATACAAATGCTTCACAAATCACAACTCCATCCCAAGTGTTCTTGTATATCCTAGGTTGTTTTTTTCTTCTACTAAATGACTGATACCTTTACAACAGCACTTGTTTCATTTAAAAAGCACTTGTCACATCAGTACCCCACAAATTCTTTAGAAACAGCAGTAACTATAGAAAGTAAACGTGCATATACGTTTTTATTATTATGTTTGTTAGTTGAATGAGAACAAATAGTAGCTAAAAAGGTGTCAAGTGATAAAAAAACATATCTGGGTAAGTTATGACACTTTTTTGTGTATTCAGACAATAAAAATGCATTATATTTTTGTACCACCTGCAAATGCAAAGTTAACAATGAAATCAGGGCACTGAAAAGTTAAAGAGGGCTCAAATATATTCACTATTTTAAAATTTTAGACAAAAAAACTGAGATTAGGAAAAAAACCAACATATACACCATAACAGTCTTTTTTTTTTCTTTTTAATGACTTCCAATTTTAATTCTTTTCTAAAAGCATTAAGACCCTTATTGTAGATTATGTATCATCTCCTCTTTGGCTATGAGGTGCGTAGTTTTGTTAACCAGAGACATCAATGAGTTCAGTTTCTGAGACCAGTCATTTAATAAATTATTTGGATCCTTGGGTCTCTGGAAGTTGATAATTCCTGCCAGTCTGTCTACTTTAGCAAAGATGGTCTTGTTAACTACTAAATTTGAGAGAAAAGCTTCTGACTCCTGTAAGAGAGAAAGACAAATTGGGTTAAGACAGATTAATTATAGACAATAAATAAAACTTAGGGAAACCATTTTCTTTTCTTTTCTTTTTTTTTTTTTTTTTTTTGAGACAGAGCCTCAAGCTGTCCCCCTGGGTAGAGCGCTATGGCTTCACTGCTCACAGCAACCTCCAACTTCTGGGTTCAAGCGAGTCTCCTGCCTCAGCCTCCCAAGTAGCTGGGACCACAGGTGCCCGCCACAACGCCCAGCTATTTTTTAGTTGCAGCCATTATTGTTGTTTGGTGGGCCCGGGCTGGGGATTTGAACCCGCCACCTTAGGTGTATGTGGCTGGCGCCTCAGCCGCTTGAGCCACAGGTGCCGAGCCAGGGAAACCATTTTCTAAACTCTTCATCTAAGAATATGCAGGGCAATGGCTTGGTGCCCATAGCTCAGAGGTTAGGGTGCCTTCCACATGCACCAGGGTTGGTGGGTTTGAACCCAGCCCGGGCCAGCTAAACAACAACGACAACAATGAACAAGAAAATAGCCAGGCGTTGTGGTGTGGGCGCCTGTAGTCCCAGCTACTGGGAGGCTGAGGCAAGAGAATCACTTAAGCCCAAGAGTTTGAGGTTGCTGTGAGCTGTGATGCCACAGCACTCTACCCAGGGTGACATAGTGAGACTCTGTCTCAAAAAAAAAAAAAAAAAAAAAAAAGAAAATGCAGGACAAAACATTCATGAACAGTTAGCAAGTGCGGACTTTCTGTATGAGTGTACTTATTTTACTGATAAACTAGAGGATGAATAGATTCTGAGTCCACTCAAGAGTCAGGACTGAGTCTGAATCTGCCTCCCTGCTATACTAAATACCATGGGCATCAAGAGCCCAGGCCACCCAGCAAGCTGGTCTATGCCCTTTCCTACAGTATTTCCTCTTAAAAGGCAATAAGGTATGGTTGTTTCTAGAAATGCTGGGTTAGAACATCTGCTCTTTCACTTGGCAACTCTGCAGGCACAGACAAGACAGCTGACTCCTAAGGACTCGGGTCCACTCCTTCACAAAGGAGAAGAGCTCGACCATGAAGCTGCCCCGGGACTCTTCTCTATCAGCTTCACTGTCCCAACTCCTTCTGCTGACAGAAATGGCTTTTTGGGACGTTACTAAACATTTCGGGTAACTCCTCTGTCTTTGTGAGTGGGCAATTTTGTCAATATGAAACACAGACTTGATATAAGACTGCTCTAGTAAGTCCCGGGACCTTTTCAGGTGGACTTCAGCCGACATTTCCTCACATATTTTATTTATACAATTTGTTTCTGTGGAAACCTGAACACGTTATATATACACTTTGGACTTCAAATTAACCAGTGTAAAACTACCATATTTAAGTGAAGATTTTAACTAGCATAAGTAACATCAGTGTAACTATAAACTTGTTGTTTAGGCTCAAGATAGGTTGGGAAATTTTCTATTACCTAAACATAAGATCAAATGATAAAACAAAATGGATTTTCTCATTCAACTTTTACAAATCAATTGATTTTCAAATGGCTATAAATAACTCAAACAAGGATGTTTATACTTACATCAACAGACAGATCCAGAAGTTGTGCCATTCTTTTCATTGTTATCCTAGTATAGTACTTGGCCATTATTCTAATATTCTGGGGAAAGAAAAGAGGGCAGGGAGAATACATAACATTGGTCAATAAGGCTAAAGTCCATTTCTTTTCATATCCAAATAAGTTGATTTAAAATGTCCGACTTAGAGCCTTTACTTTTCTATAGCCAACCACTGGAATTAAGTTAGTTGTCTAAATTTCAATAATGAGAAATAAATATTTTTATTTCTGTAGCTATATGTGAATTTAAGTATATGGTCAAAATATATGTTGTGTTAACTAAATTAGTGGTTAAAACTGTTAACTATACTAGGTGGCGCCTGTGGCTCAAGGAGTAGGGCACTGGCCCCATATACTGCAGGTGGCAGGTTCAAACTTGGCCCCAGTCAAAACTGCAAAAAACAAAAAAAGCAAAAACACTGTAACCATACTGAAGTATTTTTGTTAAATCCAAGAATCTAAAGTTAAGCTTTTCTAATTATGACACTAACTTTTGTTTTGAGACAGTCTCAAGCTGTTGCCCTGGGTAGAGTGCCGTGGCATCACAGCTCACAGTAACCTCAAACTCTTGGGCTTAAGCGATTCTCTTGCCTCAGCCTCCCAAGTAGCTGGGGCTACAGGTGCCCGTCACAACGCCCAGCTATTTTTTTTTTTTTTTGGTTATAGTTGTCATTGGTATTTGACAAGCCTGGGCTGGATTTGAACCCGCCAGCTCTGGTGTATGTGGTTGGCATCTTACCTGCTGAGCTACAGGCGCCAAGCCACTAATATTTTAAAGGCTAAAATCAAAAAATGACTGGAGATCATGTCAAAACACATCGCTTTACTATCCTTCTAACTACCTAAAGGCAAGTTCAAACTAACCTAGGAAATTTTCACTGGAAATGCTGCTTAAGTTAGACACAGAGACTCCATGTTTTTGATCTCAGCATGTCACCCAGGCTGATCCTGAACTTCTGTGATCCTCTCAACTTGTCCTCCTGAGAAGTTGGAATTACGTTTCACTATTCTCGATGTTAATATTATTAACAAGGCAGCAGAGGACCGAGAGGGAGAAAAGGGAACTCTTCTCTGAAAAAGCTGCACCTCCCTCCTCGTCTCTCAGGGTTGACAGCAACACCAACCTGTCACAAAGCCCGAGAGCTTCTACTCTCCTTTCTTTCACTCTTTAAACTGAATCTTTATCTCGTAAATCCAATCAATGACGGAATTCTTTGATTTCCTTCCTTAGAACAACTCCATTCCATCTATCTTCTTCAATCCCACATCTACTGCCTTAATCCAAACCCATACAGCCCCTCGCCTAACTAGTCTTCCCATCTCTAGTCATAATTATATTTTTCCAAATCCATTCTCCACACTCACTTCCAGAGGGGACTTTGTGAAATAAGGTCTGGACATAATCCACTTAGTTAAAAATTTTCACTACTAGGGTGCACAGACCTTGTTATGGCCCACACCGTCAACTTTTCAAGTTCTCTGTCAGCTGGTGCCTCCGCGCCCTCGCTCAGACTGCCCTCCCTGCTCACACTCCTCACAGTCGGTCTCTCACCTCACTCATCAATTCCTCCTGGTGGGACTGATCAACTCTCTCCTTATACTGAACTCTCCTCTCTGCACACTGTGCCATAATACTATCTGTAAAACTTTTTTATTTATAAACCTATCTTTCCCTATGATGTTTAACATATCGACTGCCACATTAGAAAAATTTTTTTTTCCGTGGGACCATGGTATTTTATTACAGCTCCAAAGGTACAGATGTGTGAGTTGTACATGCTTTACATGTGGCTCCAGGCTCAAAAAAACCTGCGTTAAATACAACTTACACAGCAGTTAATGTGCTAAGCTTCTTAGAGGTAGAGATCATGTCTTATTCACCCATGTGCCCTAGCACTTTGTACAGAGTCTGGCACATAGAAGGCTCATGATAAATGTTACATAATCAATGAATGTTGACATAATTCAGTTTACTGTGATACTTAAAAGATCAAAGTTCAAGTTTAAGACATGTTACCCACTTCTTTTTTTTGGAGATAGAGTCTTTTTTTTTTTTTTTTTGAGACAGAGCCTCAAGCTGTCCCCCTGGG